TTAGAGTTTATGATTATCATATTTAAGTTAATTGCTCTAATTATACATTATATAAACGGACGCTTCGCTTTTAGCCCTGGTTAAATCCACATATTAAGAGGGAAGGCGAAAACCCAGATCTTACAATGCCCATAACTTGAATAAAATATAAACTATGGGTATGTTTAACTTCCGTTCTGTCAGGTGTTTTCCCGCGCTTTGTACCAACCGATTGATCTTCCGGCGTATTTGATTGGTTCGTCGCGATTGCACTTTTCGTACATGTGGCAATGGCCAGCGGGGTTCCCAGTGTTTGGATCTTCCGGTTGTTGGCGTCTACTGTAGTAAAGTCAACCGCTCTAATACTAAACCCATCACACGATTTGTGGTATTCTTTGCAGGTCACCGGCCGCTGGAATAGATTCAAATAATAATCGCGCGATGGGTCTTCCCCGAGACGAAATCAGATCATCACAAACACACTTTAGATCAAGAGAAAAAAGCCCGGAAACACCACCTTTTGACACACCTGACAGCAATCATGTTCACGATATTCAGCAGTCGAAACGAAGGTTAGTTTGTCCGTGTATTTGCTTGTTTTACTTCATTTAACGTGTGATATCAGGTGAAACAGTTATTTGTTAGATGACATTGAAGTTTGTTGCACAGTAAGCTCCTTCATGGCGAAAGAATTTTTTGATTGCAAAGTTTTTTTAGTCACAGTGAAGTTTTAATTGGTAGGCTAGCACAGCAAAGGATTCGAATTCAAACCATTTCCCCCAAGGATTGTTTAGTGGTGCGATTGCATATACTATAAAAGCTTACACATTGGCGGTTGTACTTATTGAATTAAATTAGCAAAACTGACTTTCCTTGCAGCAGTCCAAGACGAAGAAGCAAGACGCCTGACAGCGAAAAAGTAAAAAGAAATGTTCATTTTCAAGACGAACAGACAGCTCGACAGAATGGAGAAGAAGAGGATGCTAATTCATGTGAAAGAACAGGAAGGCAAGACCAAAGGGAAATCATACATTCTGATGGAAAGGTGATTATGTACTGTATAGTTAACTAGTAACGGAGGTCAGCCGCAAAATTACTTCACCTTACCTCATCTCTGGTGCTTTCGAAGGGAATTCCAGACTTAATTGCCGGCTTAAAATTAGTACCACCACGCTGGTAGATCTTGCTCTCTTGAGCGTACAAGCAAATTTCACCGGCCCGGAACAATCTCCAATATTATTTATGAGTTTGTTTACTTCAGACCACGGGCGTTTTCCGAATAGGACAGGTTAAAAAAGTGACATGCGCTAGACTGCCATAATCAAGTGAAAATTTTGCATGAGTTGAACTAATTTCGATTTATTCATTAAGGTGTGTATAACAGCTTCATGCAAAGTCAAATTACTGGCTTTGACAGTGGAGGACTCGACTTGCTAACCATAGTTTACAGCGCAAGGTTTCTAAAAAGCAGTGATGATATCCATTATTGATCTGCTTTTAGGTGGAAAAAGTCAACAGCGACGGCTCTCGTCTCATTTCCTTTGCAAACGGTACAAGAAAAGAAATCAGTGCTGACGGCCAGACCGTTATCGTCACTTTCTTCAATGGAGACATCAAGCAAATTATGCCTGATCAGCGAGTGGTAAGATAAACTATTCGTTCTCTTGTGTGATATTTCGATCTTTTCTAGACAGCAGCGAGGGCTGCTTAACATTTTTTGTCGTTGGCACATGGCTCCCTCTCTTGCGACCCTCAGCGTATTTAAAGCCGGTAACACTTGCAATTTTCCCTTGCGTCTAAACTGTGGGCAATATCAGCGCGGTTTAGAGCAGCAAAGACGCTTAAAATTCGATGGTAACGCAGTTAAATTTACTCTAAAATTGCGGCGATTTTCGCGGGGAAAGACCGATTTCTGTCCTTCTCTTGCGCATTGTCAAAAATAGCTACAAAAAATCAGGAAAAATTACTATTTTGTCCTGCGAGCAGTTGCACGTGTAAACGCCCCTTTAAAACTCATTTTCTTTTAAAATTCAAGAGCATGGGATGAAGGAAGTTGTGCGTCGTGTCTTGTTTGAAAGTTTGAAAAAAAATCTCGTTTTAATTTTGCAGCCCAAGAGTTCAAAATAATTTTTATTTAGAATTTCTATCAAACTCATGATCTGTTCATCATAATTTCAAACACCTAAAGTTTGTTAAAAATACAAGGCGTAAGTCGTTGTTTTGTTGTGAGAACGCTCTCGTTCTCGATATTTTACATTTTTATATACTTCTTAGTCTGAGAACTAGCTGTCTCTTAAGAAGAAAGATATCTCAAAACAATCTAAGAAATATTCTGCGTCTGATTCCATATTCTTCGTCTTGTCTGACTTAAATGCAGCACGCGGAAGCCAAACTTGTAGCAAAAAATGTCGCAGAGCCGTACACTTGCATTGATATCAAACCATCGACTTTTATGGGCAATGGAATAAATACAGTCTCGCGGATATACCAAATATATCATGAAAAAGGAATGACTCTATTACTGCGTACAAGCTATTCTGTGAACGGTGCTAAATTCGGTGAGTTGAAGGCGAGTGTTCCTAGAAAGCTTTGTAAAGTGAAACACACGGGAAAATTAATATTATAAAAATCTCTCACCTTACCAAGTTCTGTGTCGCAAACACGTGAGGTAAACGTCCGCCACAGTGTTTATTTGGTGGCGATAGTCTACGGTCTTGAAGATGATGACTAGTTTGAGCAACCACGATGGTGATGGCAGCCAAAACTGCAGTACTGTGCGAAACAAGCCCCGTGTGCACGTGCGTTTCACATTCTAGTACATTTCTCTGTCGTCACACGGCCGCAAAACAACAATCAAATCTTGAAGGTTAAGGGATAAACGAAAAAGCAAGATAGTTAACTTTTCTGTTTCTCTTCGGACTATAAAGTGTAAAATTCACGAAATCACATGCAAGAGATTTTCGCTATATCTTGGTTAGTTGGCGAAAAGTTCAGAACCGGATGATAAACTTTGAAATGCCTTAGAAATGAGTGTCTTCCAAATTGTTAATTCTTCATTTATTTTCTTGATCAGATTTACTATTATTCAGAAGCGCAGACTACTCATACCACATACCCTGATGGACTGGAAGTGCTTCAATTTCCCAGGTCTGAATATAATACTTAATGGATTGAACCACTTCACCTTTCTTTCAGTATTTCTTTTCGTTGAACTAAACACCAAGTTTCTAAAAGTGCCATCCACTAATGACTTTGCTTCTCTCCAAATCAGCAAACAGGTTGAGAAGCACTACCGTGATGGGACAAAGGAAATCATATTTCCTGATCAGACCATTAAGTACCTGTACCCAAATGGAGCGGAAGAATGCGTGTTTAGTGACGGTACCATTCAAAAGGTTAACGTGGAAGGAGAGAGAACCATTGAATTCCCAAATGGACAACGGGAAACTCACACCAAGTGCTATAAAGTAAGTAGAAACGAACCATTTTGTTCTTTGTGCCTTGTGTTGCTCGGGGTATGCTTGAGATTTCCAACGAAAACAGGTTAAGCTGGTCCGCTATGTGAGTAGTAGAATTCTCAAACCGGTGACTTTTCAAACCTCCCGTTTACTCTAACGAAAATCGATCTTCCTTTCGTTGCCAAATACCCTTTATTTCCCCATGTCTCTCACAGAGTAGCTCCTGTACACAATGGTCACAATACAGACATTACATACTTTAGGTCGAGGTTAAGCGTAACACTGGCGTTGTGAAATCCCATTTTGCTTATTCATACCAGCACTTCGTAGAGTAAAATGGTGTCTTGAACGAAAAAATGGTTATGTGGTATCAAGTCGCAATAATCAGAACATTCGGTGCGCCCCTCTACGTCGTTTGCCATCCAGCAAGGTGGTTTTTGTACCATGTGACCGTATTCTGCAAATGAAGGGCCGATTGAAAATACACTGAACCAAAAGCCTTTGAGGAATACGCGAATTTCTACCTCAGAACTTGGATGAGAAGTAAGACCATATTGCTCCTCTCCTAGAAAAGTCAGGTGTAAAAGTGGTATCATGTTCAGAACTGCATCATTGCCCTAGAGTTCAAAAGTGTTGTTCTCTGAGTGACGTGTTTTTTGTTCATATTTAGAAAAGAGAGTACCCTGACGGAACGGTAAAGACAGTCTATCCCGATGGTCGAACAGAGACCCGATATGCTACGGGACGTGTGCGGGTCAAAGATCGAGATGGTCGGGTCATAGTGGACTCGTCGAACCAACTAAGATGACAGCCACTACTTTACATAGATATTATAAAGTTGTGGCTAAATATACATATGAGAAATATATGGCTGTATATTAGAAAATTATTAAAAAGGAAGCCACTCGTGAAAATTGGGCATGATTCTGTAGACATGTGGGCTATACTCTGCTGTTGCAAGTGATGCAGCCTTATCCGTTGGGATGCTTCCAGTAGGCAAAATGGTTACCTATGTTGCCTCTATTATCGTGGCGCCTTTTATGAGCACTTGTAAAATAAAATTCAGCAGTTCCTTTTACTAAATAAAAAAGAAATGGTCCTAAAAACGGGCCGTATCAGTTAATTGTTTGTTGGCTATCTATTTGTCCTGGGATTTGTTAATTAGTTAAATTTAATTTTTTATTTCTTAACAATTCGCGTGGAGAATTAGTGATAACAATAAATTTCTTTCTTTCTTTCTTTCTTTATTTATTCTGGACCGAACAACCTTAGAAAGTTCTGGAGCTGTTTGCTATATTAAAATTAAACAACAACTTCACAGGAATTACTTTCATGGATTTAATATCAATAGAAAATTCACGTCTCTTAAATGTATTGAACCTATTCTGCTAAATGCTTTGAAAATTGTCAAACATAACTTTTTGCAAGTTTTTTCTGTCATAACGTGAAAATGGTGAAATATTGGAGCAATTAAATGAAAGTAGAGATTCTTTCCTTAACCTGTCTATGAAAAAGTCTCGTATTGGAGACATGTAAAATATGAGAAGTTATTTAATATTACAACACTCTTCAAGTCCACACAAGTAAACTTCCAAGGAGAAATTTAAATGTCATAATCATATTGCTTCTTGAATTGCTCTCCAAACTCTTCGGCCAACTGCTGAAACGCTAGCACCACGTTGTCCGGTTCATTTTCAGGTCCTAACTCTTCTAATGAACAACTGAAAAACAAATCAAGATTAATTTTTGTGGTGGTGAGTGCATGTAATTGTTTCTTCCCAAATATAAAAGGAAAATTTATGGTTGAACAAATAAAGACGTGATGTTTTTAAATAAATAATCTTTGCATTTTTTTTGGTATTGAATTTTGAGGAAATAGCCTTGAAAAGAAATTCTTGTTTAGAAACTTCAGACACACACGAGGCTATCCATCGCGTACTAATTTTGGTCTCTTCATCTGATTCGGCTACTCTTTGTAATAGCTTCTTCTTCCATACAGTGTAAGTCAGCAGTTGAATGATTTATATGCGGGAGATTTTCAACCGGTTGATTGTGTAAAGGATAATAAAAAGTTTATTCGTACCTGATTGATTTAATGGTTAAGCAAAAGTCCTTTAACACATTGAAAACTTCACCAGCTCTTATTCTATAAGAGAAACATGAGAATGATTGAACGCCTATTCCCGTGTATGCACATTTCCATACAAGATAGCTGTAATCTTACTGCAGTTCAAAACTAATATATATATAAACAGTACAAAAGAACATAGGTTTATCGGTTTAATACATGAATGAATACTGCTAGTAGTATTCATTCATAATCTTTATTTAAAGAACACGAGAAGTACTGTTTCATGAAGATATCAAAGCACGGGACGTCGGAAAAAAGGTGCAGCTAAGTTCACCTACTTATGAGTTTCTGACCTTTCTCAATATGGGTTTGCGACGCAAAAACCTTGTTGGCCTTTCCGAAAAAATTCATAGTAATAACTGCGCATGCAAAGAAAGGCCCAGGAGGGGGCTGGGAAGCAACGAAGTTACTTGTCTTACTTGTCGACCATTAGAATACGGACATTTGCATACCAACGCATTAGGCTTGAAAGTTCCTTTAAGTTATGAACAAATTGGTTAAGCGACTAGTGTCTGTACTCAAATCCTCTTGTGTGTAATAAAACACTCAGGTGACTCTAAGCCTGCCTATAGAGTATTATGCTTTCCTTTTTTTTTCGGAAAGGCCTTCATAGAGATATTCTAGAAGCAGCGAGGGTTTCATGCCCTCCACACCGCCCTTACACCACCCCGCCACGCTCTACAGGTCAGCGCTCTACCGACTGAGCTGACCCTTGTTACGTTCACCAAAATAACGCTTTGAAGTATCCAATGTCCCATACATCCCACATTCACATTTGGGGATTACTTCTGGGGTTCCGTTGATGAAAGTTGGAATCTGCAGTTGTGGAGGTAAGTGGGGTGTCTTTAAAGTAGTAGCTTCACGACTAAACAGTTTGTAACTAATGAGAGAATGCATACAAGGTATGTAAACGGACAGTTAAAATAACCCTAAATTGCTGTATGTGATTGCCCTTGTTACAAACCTGTTTTCCTTCTCAATGCATTTGGCAGATCCATGTTTGAAGAAATCCAAAGCATAAGAATTGAGGCGCTGGACTCGCCCGAGTGAATCGTGTTTCCTCAAGGGAAGAACTGGGACCACGTTGATGTCTGTGTATACATCTTGGCGAACAATCTGTAAGGTAAAAGCCTTTTTTATTGTATATACGTAGCAAGAGGGGTGGGGGAGACTCATTATGAGGTAGCCATATGCACCATTTTATCCGTATATCCAACTTGGAAAAATCCTAGAACTCCTTACAAATTCTTCTCGGCTAAACATTACGAAATTTCCCGTTCATGTCTTATTTTATAACTAGATGCTAGTTCCACTTTCCTGGCATTACTGAAGGACTTCATGGTTATCGCCAAACATTTAATTCTCGCTGCATACCTTGAAACATCTCGATGACTGCCTCACTCACAGTTCCCCGTTCTGTGTACAAGCTGTACGAGTATTACGAGAAGGTTGTAGGAGATGTAAGCAGAGTTTTACTGGGACTACTGCGCATCCCTCAATGGTGCCAGAGAACTCCCTGTGGTCTGTACGATGATAGCTGGGTGCATTTTTAGAAGGCTTCAGTGGGGAACCTCTGATCATTGCCCCACAATGAAATCCTAACCGCTTACAAATAAGCATTTATGTGAATCTTATTAGCAAAATTAAGAAAAAAATGGAATCAAGCTGTGTGGGCTAAACGAAAAAGAATATGATCAGACCAGAGATGAGAGAATAGATACACTGAAAAGGTTTGAAAAGGTACGGAATAAGTTTCTTCTTCGTGAAGGTGAAAATGTCATAAATGATCCTAGATAAATCATGCATTGTTTACCTTTAGCAAAAGGTCAATGGGTTCAACATCGTCTCCTTTATCTTCATCTTCAAATTCATCACTTTCTTCGTCACTGTCACTTGTTTCCTCCTCTGTGGTGTCCGAGCTTGCGTCCTCCGTATCTGCTCCCACTTCATCATCATCTTCATCCTCTTCGTCTTCCTCATCTTCTTGACTTGAAGAAGGCAATTTCAAGTCTGAGTTTCCCGATAGTGCAGCAAATGACGAGCTTGCAGAGTACATAATAGAAGAGCGTCCAAGCGATTTGATAATGCCAAATTCATCAATTAGGTTAATGCTCGCTTGATCTGGGAACTCTACAACGTCAAATGGGATTGATGGTTATATTGAGGGACGATTCCACGTGAACGTTGCTCTTTTGGCATAATGCGTATAATATTTGTTTTTACGAATTATTTACTCGATGTTTCACCTATACCATCAATATCGATCAGCGGAGTTTTTTTGTTAACACTTTTCTCGTCTCAATGAACTTTTTCTTGGTTTGCGCCACACTCCATTTTTGTATTACGTTCTTTTCGGAGGTCTTTAGTTGAGTTAGATTGTCAGCTTGTATTGGACCTGACCCTGGGTTTGTTGAGCTATTCGTAATACAGTCGAACTTTGGGTAAGCACACATCCAGAAGGCCAAGATTTGGTCATCGTTTACGATGGAAATGTGAAGGTGGTGGCGGGAGGACAATAGGAATGTGGAGGTGGTGGTGAGGGAAGAAAATAAAAATCAAGGAGAAAGGAAATAATTGAAAGGTAGAGGAAAGGTTAAAAAAATTCAGGAAAATTTAATATGTTTAGTTAATGAATGACCAGGTAATATGCACAATTTGCGCGCCAAGAATCAGTGAACCCAAACTATAGACAAGTAATGCGGCAAAAGGTGGCATGTAAGTTAGCGCTTGTTCCTTCGTTTCAATAAATTAACTAAACTAAGACCATCAATGAAGCGATCTTTCTGAGTTGCTTTTTCATGATGTCATCGGCGTTAATTGATTCTAATTAACAAGATTCAACCGCAAAAAACAGGAGTAAGCGGAGCCGTCTATCCTACTTACAGTCCACTCTTTAGGGATTTTTTTCTTTCTTACCTATTCCTGACAAGGGAAGTTTGTTCTCCTCTCCTCGTTGCCTTTCATGCTCTGTAGCAACAGTGGTTAAATACTGGCCGAAAACCTTTGTAACCTGAGCATTGTAATCTTGAAGAGCTTCTGCAAACTCTTGAGGAAGATCTTCCAAAATAACCTGTTGGAAAAGGAGCGAGGAGAGACCGCTGTACAGACTTCTTGATACTAAACCAATAACATCTTTTTATAATTTAGTTAGGTTGAATTTAATGTAAGGCCCATTATGTAAATTTTTACGTGTTTGATGAAACGTTTTGCCTTGTTACCGGAAATTTACGCTTGTGTTAATTAAGGCATTTGAATTAACGCCAATTGAAGGAATAATTACTTTCCAATAAAGAAAATTAAACACGAAAGCGAGGGTAAACTTTCAAATTGAAATAGCGTACACAAAGAAAGAAACCTTAACACTAAGGCCTCTTAGACTTTTATGTGGAGAAAACTTGTCCCGGGTGGAGGGGTTAGAGGAGCGCCGGTTTTTCGAGTGAGAGGACAAGGGTTCAAAGCCCGGCCGGGCCACACCAACCAGGGATCTTTTAAAAAATGATAAAATAATGCTGGCTCTGATGATCGCGTCATTAGGGGTGACGTCAAGCCGTTGGCCTTGCACGTCACCTTTATCGTTCTCACATGAGTCAATTCGAAGAGGACGTAAAGGAACCCACCTTACTGTTTGAAATTAGTAGGGGAAGTTTTCCCGGTGGTTTGGTCTACGTTGCATACATCATTCAAATCATGGGCTTGGTGGGTTATAGTAAGCTCATAGCTAATAAATGGACTGATAGCGGCTGCCAGTGGCGCCCTTGTATGCTGACTTGCTAACCTGTTAAAAGGGACTTCAAGATCCGACTGCGCGACGGCAACGAGAACGTCCAAACAAAGGTTTAGTAGGCAAAAAACATCTTTGTACGTGAATAATGTACATTTCTTTGCCGTTTTTGCACGACTAGGACGTGAAATTGCCCAATTTTACGTTTTATGGAGGACGTAAACGAGCGACAACGAAATAGTATTTCTCTTTCTGAACTTGGATATTGTCTCTAGGAATTCAACTCCAGGAGGGTTCGCCTTCGTTTGACAAAATAAGTGGTGTGTTGGTACAATCGCGAAAAAGACCAAACGAATGCAAATTCACTTTTTAGGCGACGTTTTCGCTGCCATCGAGGCGGTCCTTGGATCTTAAGGTCCCTAATATATTATGTCAAAAGGACACGTCTACTTTCCTCTCATCCGCGACATTTTATTTCATTTGGCTTCTATAGCGGGTACCCCTCCCGTAGTTGATGATGGGACTTGTACCTTTGAAGTTGAACAAAGGGAAAGCCTTCGCTTGTAAGAAGCATGGAGGAATGTTCGAGCAAACAAATGGCTAAGTATCAGAACCATTTTCCTCATGACGTCTTCTGAAAACCTTCCTGTAATAATGATTTGGAGACAAAATGATATTTAAAATGTGCATACCACATATGTAACCCCTATATTGATGAATCATATTAGTTATTCTGATTATTATTGTTTCCAGTTAGACATTTCTTCTAGTATGTTACGCGCCTATGAAATGCATAATCGTATCCCAGTAGTATAATTAGAGCCTTGAGTAGACTACACTGAGTAGACTGACCTTCTAGAGGACCTCGTCATACACTTTTAAAGGCTATGGCTTTCTTACCATTTTCGTCCGGTTCACAAAACTCATGAAAGAGGCCTCGTTGCAGAAAGCTAACTAGAACGAAATTGGAAGGCTCGTGGTAATGAAGATGAGTTGCGAGTCCAGCCATTTCTTGTGGCGCTCCAGTGTCTTTGTTAATGAGGCCCTGAGATGGAACACGCAACAAAGACGAAGAAAGTGAAGATTTAGCCCATCCAAAAATCGTTATAAAGCGTTCGATGCTTTTGTTATTTCCCAGTTCAAGCTATAACCCAAGGCCCCATGCATAACAGCCCTTAATTCGCAAGAGCAATTACTACCTTATAAACCTCCCCCCTCTACTTACCTAACATCTAGCCTACATTCTCATGTCTACGACCGTGTGTGCCATTCCAGCGATGACATTTATCTAACAACTCCCCCTCTGTTAACATTGAAAACGCAAAAATGGGGTGCGGGGGAGACGACGTTTATGTTCAACAAGTTACCCACCAATCTGGCAAGAAGTTCGACGCTGAATAGAAAATGTTTCTTGATCTGGCTTTTCATCTCGGGATGCTTTTGGCAGATGAATGGGTGAGAAAGCAACGCTAATGCCTAGAGACAAATTAATAACGGTCACAATAAGTCAAACCGTAACATAGAGAGGTTTTTGCTGTGTTTTTTATTAAAATTTCTAAATTCACTTTTAATCAGCCTATATTTTGTCACTTAGCTTTTAAGGGGATCGTTAGGACTCCTTTAATAGCGTTTGAGAAAACCTTAAGTCGTATTTTGAGATTACATACATGGTTAGATTTCTAAGTGACACTTGCCCCTTTAAATTATAAACTTCAGGGTATAATAAAGGCTTGAGTGCCTGTTTCACTTCCTTACCTTAGTAAGCGCATCTTTCTTGTCGTCCCCTCTTGATGTCATCAGAAGCAGGCGCAAAACAAGGGAAACGTTTATAGGGAAGTTTCCGACAAGCTCCGGTATATTAGCTGTCATGAGACGTTGAACCTTCCGGTAAGGAACTCCAAAAAACACCACATTACCCACCGGGTCAAACCCTCTACGGCCAGCTCTGCCAGACATCTGTAAGATGAAAAAGCAAAGAACAGTACTTGCGCGCTACCGGCCATCACTTTTTCAGTTCAACGCACCTACCACAAAACCAGTTTTGGGAATTGGCAACTGCATGGGGGACCAATTTTCAGTCATCTGTGCTTAAGTGACAAAACCTTTTAAACCATTACTGAAATGACTTTTAAGTTTTGTTTGTCTTCTTCGCCTACTTACCTGTCTATACATCAGAGAGTTTAAAAACGGAGAATCTCCAGCGAACACAACAGTCTTGCAAGGCATATGAATACCCTGGGCAAGGGTAGATGTTGCCGAGACGACCTGAAGACCCAGAATGAACAGCAGACTTTAATTCATGTTTACGAGAAAAAAAAATAAGAGGCGTCTTACATCTCAAACGAGTCCTAAACGGTTAAAATCAAAAGACGCAAATTGTAGCATTTATACGAGCATGTCTTACAAAAGACACGAACAGCTCCTATAAATGGTTCGCATCTTACTTCTTGTCCCAGACTCGTTTTCGAGGTTCAATAACGTGCAACGGACAAGTCCAACATATAGCCTGTGAACGCAGACGTAAAGAAGTCAGCATTCAACGTCGCACAAAACCTTGTTATAGTTGTGAAATTTACGTTCCAAAGAGTATTTAAAAAACTCTCCAAAATCATAGACAAGCCAGCTCGCGAGGTCACGAAGAGTCACTCGAGCTTTACTCTGTCCATTGATCTGATTGCTCAACGTCAAAACAAAAGGTTTTTTTCGTCACAGAAATCGTTTGGCCGCTTGGGTTTGCAGACCTTACTTTCGGGTGGAGAGACGCGATGACCTGAAATACGTCTGCTTTTGCAGGCTATTAACATTCGCGTGCGTTTCAAAGTTACGGCGCCGTGTTTTGAACGTAAGGTGCGTCAAGCCCCAGTCACATTTTCATCTTGTTGAGATATAAGTAATATATCAAGAATTAGACAGAGTGTTTCATCACCAGATCAGTAAAATCTGAGAAGAAAGTTGAAAATACGACGTGCAGCAGTGTATTTTTGATGAACTTCGAGGTGTTTCATCTGGTGATGAAACACGCACTGTGTCGAATGCTTGATATTTCTTCTGAAACAAAATGATTTTAGAAGGAGAAATTAAGGATGCAAAATGAGCAGTTTTTCATCTGATTTTCAAACATTCATTAAACTTTCATTTCCTTTGTATTTTCTTGAACTGATCTTTGTAAGTGAAAGCAATGAACGAGTATCCCCTCTCCTGATATGCTACTGTTTTACCTGAAGATATTTCTCCCTAAAAAGCATCTCTACGACCGAGCGCAGTTTCTTGTTCAGTCCAGCATGATGGAAGCTGATTCCTCGCCTCAAAGCAGCCTTAAATGGGTGGTTACTTTTCATCATCCAGATACGGTTCATAATCTGCTTCAAACGCTGCAGGTGTAGTGAAAACGTCGTGAAAAATGGTGGCACAAGAAAACAGAAATGAACAGACAACAAATTAAAACGCCAGACAAGTTTGTAGCGAATTAGAAAGAAAAGTGGCTTGTACCTATGCCGTCAGACTCTGCAGTCGACAGACAATGTTGAATCGTACTCTGGTAACAAGCGACATTTTTTCTCTTTCTTACTTAAGGAGAATATTAAAGGAAGAAAAAAGCCTTCGTGCCACGAGGAAGTTCGTAGGTAAATGTCACCTTGCGACAATAACGTCGCTTTCTAATCATCACTTATTCATATAAATGCTTCTAGCGACTTAAGAGGAAATGCTCTTAAATCTATAAAAATGATTAATAATGAAACTAGAAAAAAATTGCTACCTCTTTTCCAATTGCATGGGTAAAGGATAATGTACAGTTCGGTAGAGGTTCGTCCAAGTTTGTCAAATTTTGCTCATCTTGTGCTTCTTCTAGTTTATCTCGCTGAGTGCTGGTTCTGGTGAGATTCGAAAAATACTGTTAAATTTAAGCTTTCTTTCATAGATTTAAACCAAACAGGTCCGAAAGTTAAAATTCAACAAAAATTCTAACTTTCGACTTGAGAATTCCTTAAAAACAGATAGTACCATGCAATAGTACTTACAAAGAGATTTAATGTAAAAATCACACCAGTAGAGGTTTTCGTCAATAAATGTTGAAGTTACATTTTCTGTTGCCAGAGCCTTTCTTTCGCTTACTCGAGGAAGACTCTGCATGGAATCGAGTAAGATCTTTGTTGAGTATAGGCCGCATGTTGCGGGACTACAATTTCGAACCCAGGCCTAATAGCCGTGCGCTTGGTACAGCGGACTCATTCCTCATCCCTTTATTTATCAATAAAGGGATGCTCGCATTCGAAACCAGTTTGACAAGAGAAAACAGGATTGGCCTAGTCTGGAAGTTCGGGCTGCGGCTACTTCAAAAACAGCTGCGAGGGAGACTAATACTTTAAAGGCTTGACGCGATTCACGCGGAGCGAGCCTCCTGTTCTCGTCCTCGGTCAAGAGGAAGACACAGCAACGCTCTGCTTGCAGGGTGATTTTACCCTACAACCGGGTAAAATTCAATGCTAATTTGTTACGCTACCTTTTGCCTTTTTCTTTCTCTGTTGCATCTCTGGTCCTTTTCGACATCTTTTCATCCTGTAAACGTTTCTTCTCATCAAGTTTTCTTGTACTTTCCCTCAAAGCTTCTTCTCTTTCTTCAAATTGCATAGCAAGACCCATTGCTAGGTCTCTGCACAGTTTTCTTTCAAAGCTAACACAAATATACAACAAAAAGCAAACAAAAGTGACCATTGTTAACAATATTTTCTGGAACTGAAAGAATGACTCAGATGGCCTTCCACCAAACTGCTTCAAACAATATAGTTCCCTTTCAATGGTCCTTTAGTTAGTGTCATACAACTCATCAATTTCCCAATACAAACCAACTGGGTTGATTACCATGAGTAAACAAACGACTTAACTAAAGAAGTGCACGACAAAATTGCATTACAATAGCGTCAAATCTGTATAGACTCTATACGGATTTGACGCTATTGTAATGCAATTTTGTCGAAAAATGACGATAGAGGACCTTCGGCCTGCCATTGTAAACACCCATACAGAAGTGTCTCTCATATTTTATCTAAAATAAATAGGTCACAGTAACGCCAAATAATACCTAAACACTAAGGCTGGGAGTTTATCTTGTGCCTTGAGTTGTTCAATAAGCTTTAGATAGTTACTCAAAATGAACTTTTTTCCTGAGGAATCCATATCTAGTTCCATCCATTCTTCATCAGTCGAAGTCATTTTTGTTAAGCAGAGAGAATTTAGGGAGTCAATCACGGACTTCACCTAAGGGACGAATAAAATAGACCGTTAACCAAAAGTGGAGTTTACACATGCCTTATTGATTTAAAGGAAGCATCGCTAATTAACGCTAATTAACCACCAAATGAGACTTCGCAGTAGAACCGGCCAAGAGTGTTTAAGTGAAGGTTTGAAGACGGTTGAACGAAGGAGAGGGAGAAATGCGTGTGTTTCCTTTCCTTTTCCCTAACCCCCCCCCCCCCGGGGGGGGTACTCCCATATTTGGGCTATAAGGGGCCGGGCCGGGGAAGAGGGGAGGGTTTTTGGGGTTCTCGGTCTTTAAATAGGGGATCTTTTTTGACCCTTTTTTTTTTGTGTCCCTGGTGGGGTCCTTAGATGGGGGAGGTTAATTTTTTTTTTTAATTCTGGGGGGTGAAAACTAGTATTTTATGCTTGATGCTATACATCCAATGTTACAGAGAAGAAATAAAGTTTTCCTTTTCATGCTATTAATAATTTTGTTTTTTCCTTGAATAGGGTGTCATTTTTCGGCTTTGGGCCTTAAAAAGGTATCAGTTTTCGCTTTCTTAGTCCTTAAATAGGGTTAGGGTTCACGAACCTTCGCGGCACACCCCTATCCAAAATTCGCGGGAGTACCCCCTCGGGCCCTAACCTCAAAGCTCTTTTGGGAAACCTAAATGACCACCTAAAACCATTTCAAGTTTTTAAAATCAGCATTAACTCGTGAAGGGTACTCTGTATTAAAAATATGTTAACTTCTGCCTAACTCCCTTTTCCTTTCCACGGGCTTCCACTCAAGCTAGTAAGTGTGACTTTACACATTGGTCTATCTATGATGCAGACTGGTGGATGGAAGGACTACCACATTCTATTGGATGAATAGACAACCATATTATATTTCTTATGGACCTACGCGGCGCGCGCTCCGCCGCTAATTAACAGAGAACGTTTTGGCAATGCGCCGTAACTCAATGGAGGTTTTCTACGAGCAAAAAAATGGAAAATCATGCAATCATTCTATTCATGTTAACTGTAATTGAAACGGTAGATCTTGATCAACTACCGCGCTGGACTCTATTTTAATTTATATCTATTTACAAAGCAATCACACAGCTGATCTCATCATCTTGTATTGATACCCATGGATTCTTAGTAGTTTAGGCTAAAAATCTAAAGAGACGAATAATGATTGAATTGAGCCTAGTCTCATGACAGACTCCTTATCTTTAACCTATTACACGTCCTATTTCAAAAGCCATTATCTTTCTTGCCCCAACTTCTTATTCATTACCAAAAGTCTTAGTAACGAGCGTTCGTAGAGAGAGTCTAGCACTAGATCTGAAAAGTTTACCTTTTTCAACTGTCCGCAGTGATCCGTCCAGGATTTGAACTCTTTCTTCAGTTCCTCTGCGTAGTCTCTTGCATGCATCTTGTGAATGAACTTATTTTCTCTGAAATATTGCTCAGGAGAAAGTCTCTAAAACAAGAAATTTTTTTACTTCAAAAGGGTAAAGATAAGGGCTTAAGTTAATCATTTCTTATGGTGGACAGAAAGTCTAAAGAGAATTTTTATAAGTTCATAGATTGACTGGATCATCTTCTTAACGGAAGACTGTTACTTTTGTAACCAGCAGCGGGAGTCTCAGTACGAATGTATAGCTAAAGAGGCATCTACTGTTCAGCTATGAATCAACTCACTATCTGTTCATTTATCTAGCCTGTACTAGGTTTTCACGGGTGGGGAAAGGATAAAAAAAACCGAGCTCCCTCTCTTTCTACCCGCTCAGCTCTCCTCTTTCCGCGTTTTTCACGATTTATAAGTCATCTATGCCAGTTTAGCTTTTAGCTCGCTTCTGCTGGTGACAAGTTCCCAATCCAAGCAAAGGAATCACTGAAGTTATCTTCCAAGAGAACTTCCAATTCATTGCAATTCACTGCTATTCACTGACCTTCAAGGAGTCTTTATCAGGCCAGTGTTGAAGCATGGTGTCGTATAGTTGAAGAGTTTCTCTAGGGGTGAGAGACAAATCACTTGGAAAACCATTCTCCTTAAGCTGCAACAAAGGAATAGAAAGAAATATCCTTTTGATTGGTTTGTAGTGTAATGTATCTTAGAGGATATGTATATACTCATCAGAAAATGCCTTAATTCTAAGGATGTTTTCATGATGAAATGACGTCATATTTTATAGGAATGACGTCATTATTGTACCATTCGTATTGGATTACCTCCATTTCAAAGAGTGCCAAAATTGGTCCTAATTAATCGAAAAAAGGTTGAATGATTATTACGTAAATTTTATTTCAATCTAATTAATTCAAACGGATGATAATTTAATTACGTTATGGTCAAAGCAAGGAATGCAAAAACAATAACAACTGATATTGCGCAGTTTTCTCTGGGTGGTGATTAATAAACCATAGGCCATTTCGGAGTTTTCGTTTCAGTATACATCTATATGCCATAACGTTGTCATAGAAAAATAGAAAAAAGAGAATTGAAAAAAACGCTGAGTAGGAATGAATTAGGCACACTCACTTCATTCAAAGATCTACAATGAGATTGAAGATATCTATCAGTAGGCCAATTTACCTTAAAGTGTCTCTACAGTATTGCAAAAGTGTTTTCAGGATTACCAATATATCCACATTTAATTTGTATGGTTAATATCCTATTTGGCCTTTTTGTTTTACTTTTTTTGCTTTTCTTATGACAAAGTTATTGCAATTAAGTGTAAATCAGTTTATCATTTTTAAATAATAAGTGTTTTCTCTAAGCCTAAATTTATGGAACTCGGAAAATGACTTTATTATTCCACTGTTCTTGGTGGTCCCAGAGTTTAATATTCTAATAGATATTTGCAGTTATTGTTTGGACAATTATAATCATAATAATATCTTGCCTGTTTGGCTCCGAGTTGAGCACACGGATGAAGGCTAACGAATTCATCTGTTCTTGTAACATCGTAGCCATCCTCGTATTCCATTGTCTCTTCAGAAAATCCTCCATTTTGGGGACTTGGAAGATAGATGTTCTTTTCAAGATCCGAGTATCGTTCTTTACACGTTACTTAAGTTAAGCAGAGACAGAAAATAGGAAATAAATTATTTCGGAAATATACCTAAAAGTGGGGTATGCACATGCAGTGATGTTCGTGAAAGCAGTTTTTTTTTACGCTCTCGTTGCCGTCGCCTTTGTGGTTGCGTACGCTCTCTCAAGGCAACATGCATGGCCGAGTGGATTAGGCCTGGCCTTGAGTTCATCTCCTTGGTCACGTTTTGTAAATAGCCAACTGGTTTGCCTCCAAGCAGCTGGGATTTTTAACCTTTTATTATGTCTAATTTGATATTCTTTCATTATCCCTATAAAGCTCCCCTGCGAAAGGCAAAGGATTAAGTATACTGAAATAATTAAGTATACCAAGCTTGATCCTGTATGACTTCCTAAGCTTTCCACTGTCTTGTTTATCTTGCTGTTCGCGAAAGTCTTGAGCGGCCTGTAACCAACTGCAATTATATCAAATAAAACCGTCTTTGAGTCATTTTACTTGCTACAAATTTGATTACATACTGTTATGAACTACCTTCTTTAGCACAATTATACCGACCCTTCCGAAAAGGTACATAGGTACACAATTACTCCGACTCCGCCTTCGGCCTCGGTGGATAACACCCTCCGAGATCTGCTTAATTCTTCATTTCCTACGAAAGCCGAATTCATTAATTGCTTTATTATTCATTCAAAAGAATTCCTAGTTTAAAAACATAGCTAAAACATGCTTACCTGCATCGATGTTAAGTTCATCTTCGATAGTGTACGTTTAGGTTTGTCCAGCTCCGCAAATATTCTCCAAATAGCACTGAGATGTCGTCCTCAGAGTTGTCTTCTTGCTGTCTTTGCCATGTTTTTAGCTATTATTTCCCCTAGTTCCAGCTGTAGTTTTTACTCTTGAAACGAGTGAAATGTCCGCCATTTTTTTTTTCACAACCAAAACAAGGTGTTTTCGGTAACGGTGCCTTAACCTTCAGCGGCTGCACGCGTGCAACAAAGGAAATAGGAGACGTCTGCACGCAGGCAACATTTTTGACGTCATTTCCTCGTTAAACACAAAATTCTTCCAAATTTGGTCATCAGTAACTGGTTATGGTGAATTATGCGTGTGCTTTTAGCCAATCAGAATTGGAGAAATATTTTGAATGAATAATAATTAGCTTTAACGTCTGGGATAAATCAGGATTGATTATGATAATGATAAAGATGATGATGATGATGATGATGATAACGTTGGTGTTCAATCTGGAAAGAAGGTAGAAGCAGAGATATGCTTTAATCTTACTTAAGTAGATCTTGTGGATTTCCAATGGTCGCTGAAAGAGCCAGAAAAGGACAACGAATCAAAAGAAGGAGATGTTCCCAGACCTCAGCTCCAACCTCCTGACCCAAACTGTGGACCTACAGAGGTTTAAAGGATAGAAACAAAACCAAACGCTTTCTAAGAGGTCCGAGAAACCTGTTAAAGTGTTTCGGCAGCTTGACACTAGTTTTGTCAAAAAGGAAATCAAAGAAAATGAAAAAGCCTTTTGTAGGCTGAATAAATTTCAAAAGCTAAATAAATAAAGATCTCCAGGAACACCATGTAAAATGGCTTGCTTCTAAAAAAATTACTTTGCGCATTACCTCATCAAAGATCACATATCTGATATTTTTCGTCCAGTCCTGTCTGCGAGGTGAGAGAAACAGAATCTCCAAACACTCGGGAACTGTGACAAGAATCTGAAAACCAAAGATGTCGATTTATACAATTAGGTACCGTCATATTAAGGTGACTCGACCCAGTTTTTTTGGGGGGGTACCATCCTACTTTGAAGCTCTCTGGTATCCCCACCTTTACTTTTATCGTAAGTCTAACACATAGAATGGATAACATATAGATCAATCTACAATGTAACATAAAATTTTTGGCGATCGGAGTAAATGTCACGTGGTTATAATGCCACGCCCCTTTGAGGTCTGAGTCGAAAATCTGCTGTTGCCGGCATTTTTTCGTGAAAATCTCTCGGCTACACATAGTGCGCATTAGTGCCTTAAGCTGAACAGAGTTTCACCAAAATCGCAAAGACCCAATTCGAGAAATTCAGCGGTTTCCAAATTTAGGTCATAATTTATGCGAAAATGATAAGCAAACTTTACACGGATTATATCTAATAAACTATGAGATTCATCTCTTTATTTTGGGCATCGTTAAAACAGATGGGTCCTTGCAAGTCAGCAAAACGCTTTAGGGCCTTGTAAATGCGCGCGATTTCGAGCAAAGCAAACATATAGAAATTATAGTTTTCGCTATTTGTTGACGTTTGTCAGCGTTTAAGAGTCCTTCTCACGAAAAAAGCATTTTCTTAAAAATTCGTAGTTTTTTTTCCTTCAAATTTTTTCAGGGCCACAATTGATTAACTAACTACCCGGACTCTGAATTTCATGGTCATTGAAAAACTGTGACATTATCTTCTATAAGCCCAAACTTGAGTAAACATTGAAGATTTTTAGCGTTTTGGCTGAGTTTGTGCTTTGGGAGTTGTCTATTGTTTCTAGTCTGTCATTATACAGCATTCTTGTTCAGCACGCGTGCAATGACCACGCTTGGCTGACTTCCGAATGCTCACCGAGATATTCCCGTCACGAGTTGGTTTAATTATTGGCTTGCATTAAACCTATGAAAAAATGATATTTTTTTAATAGTAAGTAGATTTAGTGTGTAGCACTTCTTGATTTTTTTGCAAAGGCACAAGAAGCACGAGAATTGATTAAAAATTGTGACTTAAACCTCTATGTATCACGCGATGGCCTGTCTCACTGTACCAAAATTATTATATCTCGGTGAGCATTCGGAAGTCAGCCAAGCGCGGTCATTGCACGCGTGCTGAACAAGAATGCTGTATAATGACAGACTAGAAACAATAGACAACTCCCAAAGCACAAACTCAGCCAAAACGCTAAAAATCTTCAATGTTTACTCAAGTTTGGGCTTATAGAAGATAATGTCACAGTTTTTCAATGACCATGAAATTCAGAGTCCGGGTAGTTAGTTAATCAATTGTGGCCCTGAAAAAATTTGAAGGAAAAAAAACTACGAATTTTTAAGAAAATGCTTTTTTCGTGAGAAGGACTCTTAAACGCTGACAAACGTCAACAAATAGCGAAAACTATAATTTCTATATGTTTGCTTTGCTCGAAATCGCGCGCATTTACAAGGCCCTAAAGCGTTTTGCTGACTTGCAAGGACCCATCTGTTATAACGATGCCCAAAATAAAGAGATGAATCTCATAGTTTATTAGATATAATCCGTGTAAAGTTTGCTTATCATTTTCGCATAAATTATGACCTAAATTTGGAAACCGCTGAATTTCTCGAATTGGGTCTTTGCGATTTTGGTGAAACTCTGTTCAGCGCAAGGCACTAATGCGCACTATGTGTAGCCGAGAGATTTTCACGAAAAAATGCCGGCAACAGCAGATTTTCGACTCAGACCTCAAAGGGGCGTGGCATTATAACCACGTGACATTTACTCCGATCGCCAAAAATTTTATGTTATATTGTAGATTGATCTATATGTTATCCATTCTATGTGTTAGACTTACGATAAAAGTAAAGGTGGGGATACCAGAGAGCTTCAAAGTAGGATGGTACCCCCCCAAAGAAAACTGGGTCGAGTCACCTTAAGAGGGAATTTTTCTGGAGACCACGTGAAATCGAAAAATTGCGGCACATGATGGAAAAAATGCCTGTCCTCATATTTCGTTGAGAGATACCTTATAGCGAGTCAAAAAATGTGGACAGGGGTAATTTTTTTATTGTCAAAACAGTCGGCCCATTTATTCATATTGCAAAATACATTTCCTTCCTGTTTATGGAAAGCCGGCACGTACGCACACATAGTTTAGATAGAGTACTTTTAAAGGAGCATTTGTCGCGGTTTTTCTTGTTACAGACAAGCTTTTATAAAACCACTTACACAAATTGAAATGAAAGAGAATCCGAAAGTGTTGTTCGGTTTTGTTTAAAATATGAAAAGAGGTTAGGCCTCCGAATGCCATTCATAAGGTTTGCCAAGTTTCTTGGAAATCCGGTTAGCCATTTTTGCGAAATTGTCTCCCAATATTTTGTTGGATGTACATTTCTTGGACTTGCCTCGGTTGATCTGCCCCTTTGAAATGACTGGATCCCTTATCTATGCTTTGTGAAGCTAACAAAAGCGGTTTATGTCAAAAACGGTGTAGCTCACCCCACATTATATTGTCATGAAGAAAAGAAATAGCGAGAAGCAGTAAATGTTATATTTTTACTTTCACAAATCCATATTAAAAGTATAGGCATAAAAGGTTACCTGGGAATTCAAGGTGTTGTACCGAAAATCTCTGGTGAATACCCCATAGACAGCTCTTCCACCCGGCATTTTTTTACGATGAAAGCGGGCGTAAATTGTGGCAGCAACTTGATTAACTAGAGCCTATACATTAAATATGAAAGGGAATTATATTAGATAAATAAAATGCCAAATAAGCCAGGAAACATTAAGACTGAAAGTAACTCCAACCGAAAACATCTTTAACTCACGATTAACGACAACACTTAATTAAGTTAAGTAAAACCTGAACAATATTAGTCATTTTGATTGCTAAAGAAAGACAAACATGCAGTCAAATGTATAGGGTCTCAACGCAGATACAATTTTCTGGTCCCAAGCAGGGGAAACGTGCGTTTTTTTCGGATGAAAAAGTGGAGTGACGATGCATAAAAAAAGGGAAAAAAAACCAGTAACAACAGCAAAGCATAAAAATAAAGGAATTGAAAACCAGTTAATTAAGCAAAATACCTTAGTGGGAGAAATATAAACCACTACCCCACTATTGCTCTCCCTCAGTACTTTCTCCATACAGTAATAAGAGGCGTATGTCTTTCCTGATGATGTTGGTGCTACTATCACTGCTGATTCATTATTATCCACAGCATCAAGAAGTTCACGCTAAAATCGCGGTTGAGATTAAAAAACACGTTAAACATGGCGCTGCATCGATAATTCTTAACTAAAATTAGGATGGATATTTTCAATTACATCTGGCGAAAAAACAAAAAAATAACACCGATGTGAAACGCGTACGCTCACACCCTTTGAATCATATCAGCTAGCCAGATTCGAGCCATTCTCCAGGATAGTCATTCAGTCAAACAACCATTCATGTAGCAAGCAACACTTGATTGACCAGAGAAGGTTTAAAATAGATAGCTTTGAGCCGACGTGTATGACCTAACCTTACCTCACGGCGTACCTTGCTCAAACCAAATCTGTAAGTATGTATTATCCGCAAACTGAACTTTTTACACACCTGCCACGTGTCAGGAATGAAGTTGTCTACCCGACTGTCAGGATCAGTCCGCTCTTCCCTTTTCAGCAAATGTCCCATGTGTTCTAGTTGGAATCTCGCGCTTGTTTCTTTAAGTGATAGCTGCCCAGTCTAGATGATAAGAACTCGTTCAGTTTCAAAATACATAAAGCACTAAAGTTCTTCCTAAAAAAATAATATTGTGCAAGTCAAATTCGTGATTAAAAAAAACAATAACAGTAGTTTAAAAAAAAAACGAAAAACAAACAAAAACACACACACACACACACACACACACAAAAAAAAACAGTGGAAATAAGCAACTTCATCTGATCTGTTGACCAAATCTTTTGGTCGGCAGTACTTTCCAAGGTATTGTTTTTTAAGGGGTGTGGGTGGTAAAAGTGCAGAAGACAATTGATTCACAACCTCTCTGCCAGTTTCTGGATTAAGCTTGTAAAACATGGCTGAGATGTCTTCAAATCCAAGTTTTTGCATGTATCCTGCCAGTTTCTTCTTGTTTCTGTCGGTGAGAAGGCTTTCAAATCCTTCTGTTATTTTCTNAACAGTAGTTTAAAAAAAAAACGAAAAACAAACAAAAACACACACACACACACACACACACACAAAAAAAAACAGTGGAAATAAGCAACTTCATCTGATCTGTTGACCAAATCTTTTGGTCGGCAGTACTTTCCAAGGTATTGTTTTTTAAGGGGTGTGGGTGGTAAAAGTGCAGAAGACAATTGATTCACAACCTCTCTGCCAGTTTCTGGATTAAGCTTGTAAAACATGGCTGAGATGTCTTCAAATCCAAGTTTTTGCATGTATCCTGCCAGTTTCTTCTTGTTTCTGTCGGTGAGAAGGCTTTCAAATCCTTCTGTTATTTTCTGGACGCTTTCCATGAGAAGAACTGGATATTTCATGTCATTTGAATTGGAGTCACGGGAGCCTGGAATACCAAAGTAACAAAATTTGGATTCACTTAACTCTGCAGCATCTCTGCTACGAAAATAGTTGCAAAATCTGTTCTGTATAATAAGTCACCCACAGGTAATGGCTAGCCGATAAAGGGTACGTCCTGAAAAATCAACAAAGGTTTGGCCATCATCAAGCTCAGTGCCCGTCAGTTGGTGCAGTGATTTGAATTGAAATATAAGCGTAAGCAAAATACATGTGACCGAAGGCTGCTGTTTTGCACCTCTAAATGCCATTACGCCAGGTTGAGATTCTTACGATTAATCACATTAAGTAAAGGGGAAAATGGAGAAAGATTTAAGAGAGAAACGCAAACATGAAAAAAAAGAATGAAAGGGTGTCGAAAGGAACTTACGTGTATCTTGCCAGGCGTCCAGGCAAACCTGCGCTTTTTTCATAAGCGCTTTAAGTTGCAACTCAGGGGTTTTACAATCTGTCAAAAATTTGTCAACCAACTGTAAGGCAGCAGTGTAGTTATCTGTCTTCAGGCTTCTGTCAATCTCCGAAAGGACATGTGTCCATTTATCTTGGTCTTTCTCCTGCTTACGTCCTGTAAATTGATGAACAATTCAGTATTTGCAACGCACACAAAAAAGAATTAGGCAAGCTTAAAGACAAAGTTCCTATCCATGAAAAACAGACATCGCAAACAACATCAACAAAACATAGAATTCAACAAAAAAATTTACAACAAGAAATGCGGATGCTATTGTGGGCCATCCGCGCCACAATTTTTAAACTCGATGGGTCTCTCAGTTTGTCTTTTTTACGTATTCACAAGCACCTTTTTTTTACTCTCAGTGAAGTCATTAAAAAACACAACAACGTAAGCCTGATATGTCAGAAACTAACCATGTTTATCATTCAGGTCATGAGGGAAAGGAACTTTTAAAAAAGTAACAAGAAGTAATCTGAAATAACCGAGCATATTTTTGGGCTGCCTGTGGCAAACCCAATAAAGTTCTGAGTAGCGTGTATGCGAAAAAGAAAAAATGGCGGATGCATAACCCAGATGTGGTTAAATGATATGACATAGCTCCTAAATTTTGCATCTTTCAAAGATCTGCCTCAGGCACTTGTGCTTACCTCTGCGTTTTCTGTCAATTTCCTCGATTATCTTTACTGCTTTTTTGCCCTGTAAAAAGGTGGTAAACCAAATGTCAGTGCTTCTTTTGTCAATGAGTTTTCAAATGACAATTATTATCAATTATCTTTCATCAAAAAAGTGACAACATTACTGGTGAAACAAGCATCGCAGTCCCACACGGGTCTTTTTAACTTGGATACATAGGTTATGCATTTTGTTATAACTTAATAATCTTGTACAGGAACATTATCGGATTCACTTAAATGCGCCTCCCTGTAATATGAGTTACTATTTGTACTATTTCAGATATATCACAAAACAGTGCGAATACTGCAGAAAAAGTGCCATTCTGGCAGATCCACGAAGGGATAGGGGAAACTGATAACTTTTGGTGCAGACAAAGTTTAGCAGATGAACGGGAGCCCGCTTTCCCCCCCCCCCGCCGGGCAGTCTGATTCTGACTGGCCAGAAAATTTTTTCTGTTCAATCAGAAGCGGGGATTACAAATGCTTTTAATACTGGATCAGTATGAGTAAGTGCCCGCCAGGGGCTCCCTCGTTCACCTTGTCGACTTTGTCTGCGGTAATTGTGCCCGTACTTAACTCGTCCAGATAAAGCAGGGGCGTTGCCACGATTTTTCCAGAGATAACCACAATTTTCCAAATCCACCTAATCCCCGCCTCCCCGAAGTCCAAAATCTGTGCTTGGATACTGAAATTCATCCTCGGAGACTCAGGGGGGCTCAGTCGGGTAGGGAAAAACGGTGCTAAAAGTTTTCAAGAACGGGCGAGAGAGCCCCTGGGATGTTACTTTTAACGAACCAGTTCCATGACTCATTCGAATGCTTTTTTGTAGGTTTTTTTAAGGTCATTTTACGTTGTAAGCTAGTCTTTATTAGCATTTTAGCGAGGCATTTAAGTTGATTTTTCCGCGCAAAATATTTTTCGTCAGAGTATGTAAAAAATATATATATATTTTTAAAAAGAAACCGAGGCCACCGTAATAAAGTCGTGAATAGGATTATTTTTTTCTGTATTGAACCTTTAACTTGTATATGTTATGGTTACACCACTTGTTATTTCTATCGGATGTATCACATGTATATCGGATATCAAGCATTTAAACTGACTTTTTTAGGGGGGGGGGGGGAAGGGATACCGAGCATTGTAGTGGAAAAAGTGGAGCATTAAGATGATGGTATTTGTACTGCTTCATGACATGTACCATTGACTATTTTCCAATTCCCCATAATACACTCTGTCTGCCCCCCAAATTTTGCATAACTTATTGTCTTAAAATGCTCTTGGGAAAATGCAATACTCCCAGGAGCATTTAAAAACAATGGTTTATGCAAAATTTGGGGGGCAAACAGTGTGTATTATGGGGAATTAGAAAATAGAGAATGAAGACGAGTAGTCAGAGACGTGAAAAACAATTGCAATTGCCTGCCCTGGCAGTTGGTTATGTCACTTGATAACGTTACGAGGGGTTTTCGGAAGCAATTATTCCTGCACCAATGCAAGAGTTATACAGACCTTTCACCTTCCGCACGAACAGATGAAACGAAAATTAGATGATGTTCCTCTTATAGCGTATCTGTGTCTGAAACTTGGTTTCGTTTTTGACTTGTGTTGATGACTAACCTTTTTTCCGTCTTTTTTCTTTCTTTTTTTCTTCTTGGTATCAGTTTCAGTGACTGTGATTATTTTAGCACACTCCTCACCACCGGTAAGCGAATTTCCATAAAGCCTGTTAAAGCGCGCGAATTTCTGCCTACTTCTATTATATAGAAATCGTTCCTTTGGATCTTCCGGAGGTTTTTCTGAAATTAAAATGAGATATGTGAGCCGATTCAGTCCAATAGAGCAAGTGCACATATTCAGTTCATGAGCGATCTGTCAGTTTATTGCATACCGCTTAGCGAACCGGTCAAAAGTTCTGCTAACAGAGTAACTGTCACTATTCCCCAGGGCAACCGCCAGGATGAGTCCTGCCCAGCCGTGAGGAAAGAGAGAGAGAGAGAGACGGGGGCTCAAAATACGTACTTGATAACTACCTGATTCAACACCTATTAGACTTTCCATATTTCAAACCTTGCAAAGGAATGACGGCTTTATTGATGCCGCTAACCGAGATGCAAGTGCCACGTAGCCTTCTTAGTAACACAAGGTAAATCATAGAACGCGAGCGGTCGTCCTTCTTTCCTCAGAGCCACGCCCGGCGAGCGAAAAGGTAAAATAATGCAAAACGCATTCTTCCGTGCCTCAAAAGAAAAATAAGAAACTGCTAGCAGTCTAGGTATATCAATGAACGCGTCTACTCGCCGTGCAATAAGTTTTCACCTACCGACTTGCCTAGTGGAGCAAACCCGTATTAATTCTATAACCAAAAACATGTTTATTTTTTTTCTTTAACGAGCTTTAGTTCAGAAAAATGCTTTTATTGTGAAAGACAAGTATTATTTACTAAATCTTTAGAACGGAAAGTTAAAGGGTTCCAATACCCCTTACAGAATAGAAAAGAAAGAAAACTTCATTTGTGTAGAAGAGCCACCTCTTTCCTAGTAAGAAAAAAGCTTTTCACTCAGAAACTTACCTCTGAAGTCTTGTTTACTCCTGTCATAATCATCTGAAAGTGGTCTAAGCGAGTGCCAGTGGTACAGTTCATCAACGCACGACCATCGCTGAAAACTGTGTCGTCTATTTCGTCTCTGAAAAGTACAAGGAATATACCTCCTTAACACTTCGTAGAACTTAGCAGCTAATGCGTTCGCAGTCATATATAACCCACTTGCCCCTAGAAATGATAGTGGAAAAGCTTTCTGGTCACTATCTGGTTAAAAAGAACAAAACCTGGCCAAAACGTTACAGCTTTCGAAGTTGGAGCATGCACAGAGGACAAAGTTGCGAAAATTTGGTGAAAACGTTTTATTGCCCCCTGACGGCTTCTACCTTTCGCTTTCTTTCCCCAAACTTATTTTTCTATTTTCTTCTCGTATTTTTTCTTTTGCTAGGCATTTACAAGGTTTCATTTCGATGGGAAAACATTTGCGATAAGCTGAAGGAACGTAACATTGTTTTTTGGTAGTCTAAGAGGGAAGTAGGACAACTGAGATTTTATGTGAAATTTTCTGGCCAAAGTTACATGAAAGTGTTTTTTTTTTGTGTTTTCTCTAGCCTGCTTGACTGCTCATCTTTATTAGGATCTAGTTTGGCGTCGAATAAAATTGTTTAAAACTGAGATTGATTGCGTCACAACTGGAAAAGGAGAATTTGTTTTACAGAGTTGGTTACGCGGGGCGGTTGAGGTATGGATGTGTTCTTTAATTCTTGTTCGTAGAACATGTAATTTAAATCGCCATTATACCTACCCAGCTGTGGCGTTAATCTTTGACCGGATGTCGCCAGCATATTCTGTCACTAGAGCATTTTCCACTTCAAGGAGCTTAGTAAGTTTCACGCAAGTTTCTGATTCCACACATTCTTCTAAAAACAGATGAAAAAAAAAAAAACAAAACCTTACTAAATTCGCTTGGTTTTACAGACCTTGATGTAATGGGATTGTTTAACGTCCTTTACAAGTGTGGGAATAAAATTCAGATTTGTGAATAAGCCATTCCAAGAATTGAACTATTTATAGGTTTTATTTTTTAAAGCAAACATCTGGCAACTCCAAGAGCGAGTTTTGATACTGTCTTAGAAACGTACAGGACGCCACGCGTCCACGTCATGCGCTTATAGGCCTCTTGTTTAATCGCTGCTCGCTAATCTCAGCAGACCGGCGCGCTTCCAACTGATCATGAGCGGCGCGGTTCGTGAGTTCAAACAGGACCAGCAACGATGATCTTAAAAGATGGGGGCATGCTGGCTAAGATTAAAACCTTGTTTTAATGCAAATGATCATGTCGTAGGTGATAATAGCCACATTCGAGTTCCCGAGATTCTGTTCATGAGATAAGGCATAAGAATGATATTATGGACAATGATGTATTTCTAACAGAGAATATTATGCAGTTTACGAAGGAGCCCAGAACAAAACTAATGAGATTCCTTTTGCCGCCACCCTCACAAAAGGAATAACAGTGTGCGCACAAAAATACTGCACGAAAAAAACAAGCGGTCTCGATATCGTTAATTAGTACCAGTGATAACTGAGGCCACACAAGCCTAATTTGGTTTCAATTAAACTCTACTCTCACCTTCCCTCGTTTTATGAAGCTCCTTTCCAATGTCGACCCCAAAAGGAAGAAAATGAGGGGACAAAACGTCAGAGTGTTGAGTGGAAGTGCTTTTCACAGCAGCAACAACTTTACCCCATGCACGTTCTCCCTCTTCTATCACTTCTTCCGGTAAACTTTCCGCTGAGAGGAATCGCAGATGATTAAATTCAGTAACCAAATGAGAACGAGTGGAAGGGAGGAAACTGGCAGAATAATCATAAAATAGGAAAGAGTTTGGTTAATTTATTTGGAACCTTCAATTCCTTTCAGCTCCAAGGCCATGGAAAGGAGAGTATAGACAAGTCTACCGTCCATAAGATCAGCCACTGAAGTCATATCCAGTGAATGGCCAGCATCCTTCATAGAAGGGTACTCATCCTGTATGGTCTTTAAAATCTTCCACAGGCATTTATGTATCTGTTAAAGAAGTGTAAGAACAACGAAATTCAACGAGGTAACCGGGGGAATCTCGGGTCCATTTTTGCTACGTATGTGCCCAGAACCACTACTCCATTACAGTCTATTCTGTGGCCAATTATAGACCCCATCTTAGTCAGTTTTGGGCAAAAGGAATTTTCGCGATCCCAACTTAGTCACTTTACACAAAAGATGGTGACAACTTTCTAACCTCGAATCTTCCCATTTTGGCCCTACTAACCAGAAGTTTCTTTCCCCAAAATTCCGAGAATGTACGACCCAGGTCATTCTACTACCCCTATTGAAAATGCAACCCCATTATAGTCAATCCAGTCGTGAAAATGCGACCCCCGTCCAGCGGGAAGTCCCCATTAGCCTATTACAAGGAAGTACCCCCCTCCCCGGGCGAGGTAGCATTGTGGTATAGGCGTCAGGCTTCGGTGGTTTCGAGTTCAATTCTCGTCATGACGAAAGTTCAATCTCTAGTATGGCGTTTTTACACCATTTAAATATCAGCACCAAATTACCCATCCACATCGCATGATGTTTTACTCAGGTTATAGATTCGTCCTATTTTAAACAGTTATCGATTTTGAATACAGTGCGTACCTACAGCAGAGACACAATAGACTGAGCCTCCTACCTCAGTTACGTCTTACCTACCTCGTCGAGAGGGTAAAATTGACCATTCTCTTCTTTGCAGAGTCTAGTTGACAAATGGTCGTTTATGGTATGAGCTCTGTACTTCAACGGCAGTTTCTTTAGCAATAAAGAGTGAAGCAGGAAAAGCTTGATTTTATCTTCCGCAGTTTTCACTGTGTCCTGTTACACAAAATCATTGAACCGTAAATTACAGTGTGTAACTCCATGTCCACATTTTTCCGCCAAGACACCACACGACCTAAACGTCATAAAAGTGAAACTTTATATGGACCAGTACCAAATTGATCTTAATAAGAATTCTTCACACGTTCATTCTCATCTTTGGAACAACCACTGGCCGTAAAGCTGTAACTGTCGTTAAACATGAGCCCGTCAATTATTGCGTAAAACACCCTCTGTAGTTTCTTTTCCTTTCTTTCTTCCTTTTTTTTTTTTGGGGGGGGGGGGGGGGGGGGGGGGGGGGGGTTTTTTGGCCTCCACGGGGTTGAGAAAAAAGTTCTTTTTGTCTTATGACGAAGTGATGGACACACCGAATTAAAGAGAACTTTATCTTATAATTTCTCTATATCCACTCCCTTCTTGTTTTGTTTATTTTTTTTGTTTTTTGTTTTTTTGGGGGGGGGGGGGGGGTTCGGAGGGAGTGGAGAATCTGGCTCTTCCAGATGGTAATCAAAAATCCTTATTATCTCATTACGATATGGATCGAAACCGACTTTAATAGAGGCCTGTAGCGAATTTACTTGAGGATTGTTGGAATCAGTCGTTAATGTAATAGACAAGAATGATCAGACAGAGGGATATCCAGTTCCTTCTTTTAGCCATATGCATATTTCATTGCCCGGGGTGCGTAAGAACTGAGCGGGTTTGCGGTTATACAATTTTTCGATACTTCAGAAGGGTCAAGGCTATTAACCCACGCAACTTACTCACCTTGCTGTTGTGAGCCGGGTTACTCAGAATTTTTCTCAGGATAATTTCACAGCAAAGTACCGTTACCACCTCACGGCATCCTCCTTGATCTTGAAGAGTAGAATACACTTTTTCTTTTAGGTCGCACTACAATATAGAGCAACAACCTTCGTGTTAAATGATACAAGGCAATTTTATACAGAATATGTTTCACTTACCATGTTTCTCTAGTTATCTGAAAACCTATATATTCCTGGTCATAACTGTTAAAACGCTTGCAGATTTTACGTGCGTACTCATCCAAAGACTTCATGTATCTTGTGTACTCTGCAAGAGTTTCAACTCATTACGACCAACTCTAACTTCTTAACGCTTCTAGGGCAAGCCGATGTGCGCTCTGTTTTTTTTCTTTTAATTAATATTTTTGTTACTGTTGCTGTTCATACCTGTCTTGATAAAGAACTTTCTGGAGCCTTAATGTTATCGCTGAAGGCTCTGTTACGCATGCTTCGCATTACAGCAGTCCAAGTTATCCTGCAAGGCCTCAAGAGCTGTCAAAGCAAGCAAATTCATTAAGTTTTTTTTGTCTGTAACAAAGTAAATGGTTTTAACCCAGGAGTCATGTCATACGTTAGTGGGATATGATCGTCCGGGTGATCGTTAAACCAGTCAGTGTAAAACGCACACTGCGGACCAGGGGTAAAATGCAGACCGCAGACCGAGAGTAAAACGCCGGCTGGGGGTAAAATAAAGAAAGAAATCTTAGAAGCACACTGGGGGAAAATAAGAGAAACTACAATCAGGAAACAATGAGGAAGTCGATTTTTTTTCCTGTAACCCAGAGTCTGCGTTACCCGCGTTACCTTTGTCCAGCAGAACGGGAAACGAGATTGACAAGGGACACATGTGAGACGCATGTAATGTGTAAACCATTTATTATACCAACTTGGCATCTTAGGCATTCGGCGCGGCAGATACTAACATGGAGAACGACAAGTTGCAGGTATATTTGAAGTGAACCTCGCATTCTATTGATTTATTGTCTACAGTGTACAGTCACTTGTTGTTCAGTGAGATGCACATTCGCCAGAAGTGACCATGAACATCCGAACAGCTAAAGTCTGCGTACCATGATTTGCAATACTTTCATAAAAGGTCTTCCAAATTCCCTGCAGAACATCTTTCTTTGTTGAGGAATGATTTCCTCCCCTTTTTATCATCATTATTCCTTCTTTACAGTATTTTTTGTCAGCAGCTTTTTTTAAGCGTAAACATCGTGGTGTGGTACCAATTCACGGTCATGTGTATCGAAAACTTCGCGCTTGAATTTGGAGCGTGAGGTCTCTCGGACGGAAAAAGGTTCAAGATTGCAAATATGTTTTCGGGTCGTCGATGACGTTCCAGAGAAGAAAGGAATAGATTTGTGAAAGCAGATGTCAAGTAAGTGATCGTTTACATGTATTTGCAGGATATTTTTGCCCTTAAACCCTTCCGCGACTACAGTATATGCTTGGTTTGCATTTTGCACCCTGCCCGCGCTTTACTCTCATTCTGCAGTCTTCATTTTACTCTCAGTCTGCATTTTACCTCTGGTCCGCAGTCTGCGTTTTATACCGACCGATTGTTAAATAGAACTGTTGTTGACGGTGACTGACGTTTCGACAACCTGTGTGGTAGTCATCTTCAGAGTCAAGATCAAGGTGAGTTGCATCTCGTCAGGTTCGATCAGTTGATTGTATACCACCAATCTTTATCATGTACTATTTTTTTCACCTGCATGGAATAATTTAAGGCCTGACTCTCGATCTGCTTAGTAACTGACTGATTGACGAATGATTTTTGTTTTAGTAACCCTTTACATCCACCTCTGTGCTAAGTTAAACAGATTTCAAGCTTATCAACTACCTTCCAGGAAAGCCTTTCTTTCGCTTACTCGATTTAGGCGTACTCGAGAAAGACTGTGCACGAACCGAGTAAGATCTTTGTTCAGCATGCGTTGCATGCTGCCAGGATCAAGTGGAAGACAAAGGGAGGCTCTGTTCGCAGGGTTGCTTATTAAACGCCACTGTGCTAAACGATCTCCAACAGGTGGGATGCGGTTAGGAGCCCCCTTATATCCTCTAAATTTAAGGTTGCTCCACACTACATGTATTTCCCACATTTTAAAAAACCTTTCAGATGAGATCCAAGAGCTTTTTTTAATTAGAAGAGCTTAAAGCTTAATCTCAAGGGTTTTTTAAACAGAATTAAGCAAAAGTAAACTATTTCGTCATGAAAAAGAACACCACTTGTTCACTACTGATTGCGAGTTGATTCATATCACTTTTGATCACGCTGAACAAACAGTTAAAGAGAGATTTCTGTTCATGGAAGTGTTACCAACATCTTAATGTTAAAGGCAAGTTATGGTGAATTACCTTTCTGAAGTGGGCTTTATATGTTGCTAAAGACTCCATGTAATATCCCATCACTTTAGTTGCAGTCATGGTAACACCGGCAATAAACACACAGTTCAACCCCTGTCCTAAACTAAGAAGCAGAAGACTTCTGAAGAAAAACTGAAATTCGCGCCTTTTCACTTCAGTGGCTTTCCAAGGAATTTTCTCTGCATCTGTTAGCAACAGAAAAGCGGGAACTTTGTCATCAACATGATCTTTCCACTGCTTTTCCCAGAAATTGTTGATTGAAGTCACAACGGTGAATCTTGTATTGTACTGAAGGTGCAGAATAAGGGCTTGGCGAGCCAACAGCATAGACGGCTGGCTGGTCCAAATAAACTCCATGTCCTTAAAGAAGACGATGTGGAAAACGCCCCCTAATTAAAATAAACCAGGTTAGTTAATGTATATTTTTTTCTGTATGGAACAAAACAACCTTGCGTGAAAGTGCCACCGTAGCCAGAAACAATACTTATCTGTTAATCGCATAAATATGTCTCAATGTTTCCTGTATGGAGCGAAACTACATTGTGTGCAAGGGCCATCGTGGCCAAAGGTGATACTTATCGCACCAGTCGTGGGACGTACCGACGCTTCAGGGCGGAAAAACGTAATGAGCATGCGTGAACTTTTTTGCCCAGATCCCCTGGCCGGGTTTGAAAAAATGGCGGGATTTCAAATATTTTCTTGCCTAAAAATAAAATGTTTCCACTCATAACCTGGAAAGAACAGGCAATTTGTCTTCAAAAGTTGCAAGCTGTGGTTATAACCTTATCGTTACATAATTTTCTCGAAGAATACCTCATAGTAAAACGGACTTTAACGACATTAATTTCCTTGCGTTGTACTGGAAATGTGCATGCGTAGGTCCCATTTTTTTCAAGATGCATTCACAAAATGTGTTCATATAAGAAAGTTTCTGGATATATAAGGTCCGGAGCTCCACTGTGGACACAAAAACAACATATCTTTGGACAGTGATTTGCCCCAAAAAAATAACGCTTGCCCACAATGTGTTTGAAGTCACTGAACTTTGTCGAACTCGAGCTGATATTTTAAAACCCTCGCTCGATCGGACACTCGTAGTTTCGCAGATCACTAAAATATAAACAAAATCCTCAATGTAGAAGTTATTGCGTTGATATGTGAGCAGAAAGAAGGTCAATNTGATATTTTAAAACCCTCGCTCGATCGGACACTCGTAGTTTCGCAGATCACTAAAATATAAACAAAATCCTCAATGTAGAAGTTATTGCGTTGATATGTGAGCAGAAAGAAGGTCAATCTTTATCTAGTAAAATCTTCCCAAAAATCGGTTTCAAAGCAACTATATCGTTTTTTTAAACTTGATCGTTTCACGCAGATATATAAATTTTGCTTTGTGTTGTCAAGTTGAACACGCATAACATCTGCCAAAAACCTACAAGTAAGAAGGATTCCTTCAAACGAAGTTAAAGCTACATTATTTCAAAAACTTGTTGCTGACAATGAAGAAATGAATTTTTTGTGCGAAAACAACCTACCTAAAGATCTTAAAAGCAAAAGATCAGTTGCAACTTGGCAGCCAAGCCATGATTCACCATTTAGCTGTTTTCAATACGCTTAACTGGTCCATGCTAGGGTCTTCGTTTAAGCAAATTAAACTCAGCCGATAATTAGAAAATACAGAAGATTGCACATAACGGTTTGTTTTGCTCGCCTCAGTCATATCAAGCTGCAGCAATTGTTTACGGGAAAAGAGTCAATTGTTTTGAAGTCACTGTCGGCAGTTGTCGTTCTCTACTTCACAGCGAGTAAAAAGGACAATTTGCGTACGGAAAGTTATTCTTTATAAAGAACAGAAACTTTCACAGTGCACTGGAAAACAAAACTATGTAATGAAAAATGAAAAAACTCTGACTACTATTACTTGAGCAACAGAAAAATGATCTTGAGTAAGCTTGCTAGCCTTCTATTTCCGAGAAAGTTTAATAAGCGCACAAGTTTGTTCATTCTAATGCGTTTTAACAGCAATATGGGTTTTTGACTGAAGACAAAGATAAAGCTGGTTCTGCAAAGGTAATAAATCTGGGCATGTAAAAAAAGTAACCGTAACTACTAATAACAGAATACATGCGGGTTTTAATTCAACCCCGCGAAATCAACTCATAAATCAATCGGATGCACAATCAGAAAAATACTCGCCTCTTAAGAAATGTTCAGACCTTTTATTCCACCTCAGACTGACGGAATGATCCGTTTTTCCTTTAACATTGGTTGTTCTGAATCCAAAGTAATTTTCAAGCGACGAAAAAAAAGCAAACATGTCAAATAAAAATGCTTTACAGGGAGCAAACGTTCGCACCTCGTGCATTTCACTCAGAACTCCAGCAACCAGTCAACACACAGAGAAGCCCACCTTGAGCCTGCGATAAGGGATGCGCAGAAGCTTGCGCAGAACGTTTTTCCGCCCTGAATACCGACGCAAGGAAACAGTTAGTATACGTTGACTCCCCACATAAGACAGCACTAACTTAGTCTTTTTTGTAAGCGAAACTGCGTTAACAATCTTTGTTTTCATGATATAATTCGGCCGAACTAACCTTTATCTGTAAAATACTGCAAAAATCGTTCCACTAGATAGATCAGATGGAGGAACTGCCCTCCATTTCTCCAGTCCAAGCTCCAATCTCCAAGAAGATCCAGTAGCAACGAGTCGCCATCGATTAAGAAAATCTCTGCGTCCNCCTTTAACATTGGTTGTTCTGAATCCAAAGTAATTTTCAAGCGACGAAAAAAAAGCAAACATGTCAAATAAAAATGCTTTACAGGGAGCAAACGTTCGCACCTCGTGCATTTCACTCAGAACTCCAGCAACCAGTCAACACACAGAGAAGCCCACCTTGAGCCTGCGATAAGGGATGCGCAGAAGCTTGCGCAGAACGTTTTTCCGCCCTGAATACCGACGCAAGGAAACAGTTAGTATACGTTGACTCCCCACATAAGACAGCACTAACTTAGTCTTTTTTGTAAGCGAAACTGCGTTAACAATCTTTGTTTTCATGATATAATTCGGCCGAACTAACCTTTATCTGTAAAATACTGCAAAAATCGTTCCACTAGATAGATCAGATGGAGGAACTGCCCTCCATTTCTCCAGTCCAAGCTCCAATCTCCAAGAAGATCCAGTAGCAACGAGTCGCCATCGATTAAGAAAATCTCTGCGTCCACGAAGTCCGTCATGATATTTACTTTCCTGAATAACAAAACTTTCCAGTTTTAGACTTTTCACCATACTTCAGAAGACGCAATGACAAACATAATTGTTTCTGGGTGACTGTTCAATGTCGCGCTACGCCTATGAGCGGAATTAACCAGAGAGAGCGCTGGTCCTATGCAGTGAATATCAAGTCGCACTCTACGATATTTAACAATTAATGAATGAGGCTGAGTATCTCGGAGGGTGTTATCCGTCGAGGCCGTAGGCCGAGTCGGATAACACCCTCCGAGATCTCCATAATTCTTCATATGATACGAAAGCCGAATTCAATAATTGTTTTATTATTCATTCAAAATAACTCCTAGTTTAAAAACATGGCTAAAACGTGCTTACCGCCATCGATCCATTGATGTTAAGTTCATCTTCGATAGTGCACGTTTAGGTTTGTCCAGCTCCGCAGATATTCTCCAAATAGCAGATGTCGCCCTTCGAGTTGTCTTCTTGCTGTTCTTGCCATGTTTTTAGCTATTATTTCACCTAGTTCTTACTCTTGAAACGAGTGAAACGACCGCCATTTTTGTTTCCACAACCAAAACAACTCAACCTCGTCCCCAGGTCTTCTCGGTTAACACCGCCTTAACCTGCACGAACGCTGCATTTTTGACGTCAATTGCTCGTTAAACACAAAATTCTTCCAAATTTGGTCATCAGTAACTGGTTATGGTGCATTATTATTCATTAAAAATATTTCCGCGATTCTGATCGGCTAAAAGTACAAGTTCCATTCACCATAACCAGTTACTGACGACCAAATTTGGAAGAAATTTGACTTTAACGAGGAAATGACGTCAAAAATGCAGCGTTTTCGTAGGTTAAGGCACCGTTAACCGAGAAGACCTGGGGACGAGGTTGAGTTGTTTTGGTTGTGAACTTGAAAAAATGGCGGACATTTCACTTGTTTCAAGAGTAAGAACTAGGCGAAAAAATAGCTAAAAACATGGCAAGAACAGCAAGAAGACAACTCGAAGGGCGACAAATCTGCTATTTGGAGAATATTTGCGGAGCTGGACAAACCTAAACGTACACTATCGAAGATGAACTGAACGTCGATGGATCGATGGAGGTAAGCATGTTTTAGCTATGTTTTTAAACTAGGAATTGATCCAAAAGGTCTAGATAGCAGCAACAATATAGATAGTCGTATAAACATAACAACTTTCTTTAATTTTCCAGACATGTTTCGACGGTACATCCGTCATCTTCAGTGTTACATATTTTGAAATCGCCGTTGAATTTAAAGCGCGCGCGATCTTACAAAGTTCGTTACATTGCGTTGTCAATATTGCGTACTAAAACAAAGTTAAATGAGTGACGCTTAGTTCTTTACAGGGAGAGAGTCAGGTTAATGTGTTTCACCTGCTGGTTGAGATCGGGCTTCTCCCATTTTATAAACATGGATTCCTTAAGCTTCACTTGGTACTTAGTGGCTGCAGAGTCCAGGATCTCGAAGCAATCCGGTGTGCAGGATGCTCTACAAAACTCTGAACCCTGCAGATGTTTAAAAACGTTCGAAGACCTGTCTGAAAGTAAGTGCTCGCGCACTCGTGTGGAGAAGTGTCGGCTGGTTTCACCAACATAACAAGCATTACAACTTGCACACGAAAATTTATAGACCACACGCGTGCGTAGCCCCTCAGGGACAGCATCTTTCACATTAAAAAGATTCCTGACTTTGAAAGTAGTAAAGACTAACCTTAAATCAATAGGTTTACATAACCGGTTAGCAAGTTTGCGTATACTCCTCTGTGCCGTGACTGAGAAGTGCCCAACGTAAGGGATTTTGAAGAAGAACTTAGGCGTTTCCTGGGGCTCGACTCCTGAATAGGGCTGTGTTTTCCCTCCCTTGACTGCTGTCTGAATATATTTAGAAATATATTTGTTGATAAGGTTTTCAGGGAAGAGATTCCTCCGCAGAATGACAGACAATTTTTGAAGGTCAGTATGGAACCCCATCCAAGTGTTGTTTATCTTAAAAGTTCTATGAATCAAGGTTTTGATTAACCCCAATTTGTAGGTAAAGGGGCAAAAACTCAGATAACTAGTGAGCAGACCTGTGAAAGTCTTTTTCCGGTAAACGGTGGTTGCACTTTGGTGTGGGTCAGTGCTGTTGATTAGAACATCTAGGAAAGGTAGAACATGGTCAGTTTCCCCTCCATTGTAAAGCGTATATTGGGGTGTTGATTGTTGATGTAATTGAAGAAAAGGGTTGCATTCCGTTCAGAGTGGAAAAGGCAAAATGTATCGTCTACATAGCGACGATAGAATAATACCTCTGAATCTGAATTTTTGTAAGATCGCGCGCGCTTTAAATTCAACGGCGATTTCAAAATATGTAACACTGAAGATGACGGATGTACCGTCGAAACATGTCTGGAAAATTAAAGAAAGTTGTTATGTTTATACGACAAACTAGGAATTATTTTGAATGAATAATAAAACAGTTATTGAATTCGCCTTTCGTATCAAATGAAGAATTAATTCTTCATAGGATACTCAGCCTCATTCATTAACTGTTAATTAATAGAAGCAAAGCTCCACGGATGGATATCAAGGCCTTACGTTCATCTTTAAATGAGCTGTCGTCCAAAGGAAGCAACATGTCAGATATCAATTAATGTTGTATCTTTTTGCTCTGAGCAGGAATCTGATTTTGGATAGGTTGTCGCTTCTAGAATGTGGTCGCTCAACGAGATTCAACCGCTCCTTTGGAGAGTACAGCTGTGTCATTAATGGCTGAGTCATCAAACTTGATTATGTTATCCCTTCACAATTTCAAGGGGTGCGTTCACTACTAGCCGCAACCATCCGCGGAAACAGCTTATACAGTGGAACGTTCATTCAGGAGCCTGAAACCCTTGAGTCGAGGACAGATGTCCCCTGAATACATAAATATAGGGGTAAATGATATTAAGTCAGATGATGAAGTGTTTTTTCAGATATAAAGTTTGTGTCCTGTTTATCAAGGAGCCCCCTAAATGGAGTTTCCCCAAAGAAAATTGTAATTGTATCACATTTGTGTAAAATCGCATTCGTCGATTGTTAAATACATAACCAATAACAAAGAATAAAAAATTTGACACTCACTCTGGTGTTACAACGCGTCCATAGAAGCGTTCATTTATAAACATCATGATCCCACGAAAATCGGGCCGTGGTCGCCGTGGCTTGTCACCGTCTGTTTGATTTTTAGTCTCTTCTGTCTTCTCGGGCTCTTCACCTGTAAGAAAACACACAAGATAAAAGGCAAATGCTGCCTTTCTGTTCAAGACTACCAAGAAACAACTCTAGCGAGTCCAGCACGCCGACCACTCGGTCGCACTTTACCCATCAAAGGCACAAACTGGAACTCTATACGTCCATTTTTTTTCGAGCAAACGTGTAACCAGTTCCCGATCCAATGAGTTAGATGTAAATGTATCACTTTGTCCCCAGGTTCCAACCAGCCACGGATTGGTCCAAACCACATCTGAAAGGAGTTCACCTAATATCCAAACACCAAAAAGTGGATATAATCATAGGACGGGAACAGTCAAAGTTTCCACCATCGAGGTGTCTGCATATAGCTTCTTCTAGCTAACTGTCTGAATATAGTTTCTACCTATATCAATAACCCTAGGTAATTTGTTTCCTTGGAAATGAGAATCGTATTTCGTGATTTCACTCCTCATGTAATGACTTCATGAATTGTTCATAAGTTATCGGAAGAAACTGATCAAGGTTTTTCCCGGGTACTCCGGTTTTCCCTCCTCAATTATTGTTTCAACAAAGGTTACAAGTATAGCCAAAATGTCCCTTGAATACATAAATATAGAGGTAAATGATATTAAGACTGATGAAGTGTTTTTTGCAGAAATAAAGTTACTTTGTGTCCGTTTTATCAAGGTGCCCCTTAAATGGAGTTTCCCTAAAGAAGATTGTAATTGTATCACATTTGTGTAAAATCGTATTCGTCGATTGTCAAATACATAACCAATAATTTATTATTAGTTATGTATTTGGCTATACTTGGAACAAAGATTACAAGTATAGCCAAAATACGATTTGGCCAAGAAAAGCTTGGACATAGTTTGTAATAGTCTTGGACGCGCTGGTGATCCAGAATTAGGAAAAGAAAAATTACCTAATTCCTTGAATCGTAATATCTATAAAAATCAAGTGGAAAAGGAGCAAAGATAATAAAACTCTATTTATTCTGTTTATAAATGTCAAACACGTGACAAGAATCCTAGAAGCTGGGTGTCACCCAGAGAGTCGTCAACCCTAGTAACGGCTTCTAACGGCGCTCGACACCCTCTGCGAGGGAGCTGAGACGGCTCAAAATTATCGTGATTAAAGTAGTGACCAAGTCAGTGACAAACCATTTGTAGATCAGCAGGGTGTGGTACAAGGCGATAAGATAAGATATCTTAATTTCCCAGCTTTTGACTAAAATGGAACTCCAATGAATAAAGACAAAAACTTAACCATCAAATTTCACTAAGTGTTGTTTTCGTCAACGGAAGTGTCATTATCGCCGGTAGTGTATAAATGTTAAAACTTCCTCAATACCCATCACTCATTTTCTACGGGAAAAAGCCCTTGGGAACGAGGTTGTGGTTGGCTACCTACTTGCTTCTGCAATATCTGGTGGCACTTCCTTTAAAAAGTCATCCTCATCATCCGACCTGCTTTCTTTATCTTCATGATCTTCATATTCAAATTCGTCTATATCTGTCACATAACAAAGTATCACGACGTCAAGTCTGCAGCCTATAGTTTGGCATGTGTTTGTACATAGTTTTGGCATACATTTCAAGTAACGTTGCCTACCGTCATCTGAATCGTCATCGACATCCGATCCAAAGCTGAGGGAAACATCGGAATCGTTATCAGAACTGTAATCCTCACCTCCTTCGGCCATTCTGAATCAATGGGCGATAAATATCTGAATTAATCACAACTACAACTTGATTAACTTGCTTAGATAGACTTAACTG